GTGCTCGAAGGAGCTCAGGTGGCTTCCCTCGGTTGTACAGGCGGTGCGAGGAGACTGGGTGGGTGCCCCACGGTGGACTTGCCTGGGCCGCTCAGCACCCATTCAGGGCAGCAGAGCTGAAGGGCGGCCACAGAAATGTGTTTCTAGGTGGAAATTTAGGACTTGGGCGCTTAGTTTTGGTGTGAGGACCGACTTTCTATAAATAAGGGCTGGCTGCCCTTGAACATTTTTAGAGCGTGTGTGCATCTGATGTTAAAACTAAGAATATTCATTGCCCATTTCTTGTTTTGCCAGTGGAAAAATGTACAGTTTCTCTCTGGAGTCCCTTGAGCTGTGGAGAGAGGCACAAATCTTGGTAGCAGTGAGTTTTGCACCGTTGACTGGGAGAGCCACCCCCCGCAGGCAAACCCGGGGGCTTTGTGTCTGGGAGGCCTTGCATTGTCTTCCTTGTGCCCCTGTTCACTTGCTTATGCTCTGCCATATGCTGTTTCTGTCTTGACTCGATGGCGTGCCTTTGAGGATTACAGCCCCAGCCCCCGGGCAGCGCTGCCAGTGGCCCAGTTGGCCTCTCTGAGGTGGCGATGACCTGATGTGTAGAGCAGTAACAGCCGCGTGATTGATGGTTCTCGTTTTACTTGGAGAGGAACTGGGCCTGGAAAGGCACGCGGAGGACAGCGCCGTGTCAGCGGCAGGAGGGTGGACAGCTTGGGATGTTGCTAAGAAGGCGCCCAGTTTCACTTTGGGTGATGGGAGCCCTGGAAGGTGCTGGGCTGTGGAGTGTGTTTTTGAGTATGGGGGCCGCAGTGGAGGGCGGAGCTGAGAGGAGACCAGCCTCTTCCTCTGAGGTTCTGCAGAGGCCACTGGCCTTGGGACAGTGCTCAATCCTGGATGAAGAGCAGTGTGAATCGGTAGATGAGAAACCAAGATTTTGCACTAGTCTCTGTCAGTTGGTGTTCTTGAGATGTGAGCTTGACTTTTCAGTGTTTCATCTGTGATTCTTTTGTGAGGCAAGGCCAGCTGAAATCGGGATTAGGGCACAGGATAAAATCTTTCACATCCATAGCTGATATTCAGATCCTGGAATCTTAAGGATTTGGGAACCCAGAGTGCGCCAGCCACAGGACTGCATTGTCTTGCTAATTCCCTCAAAATGCACTTGGATGTGAGTTACAACCCAGCCAAGGGCGGGAGGTCAGCAGGTGCAGTATAGTCCTGGGTGACCTCGTGAGGAAGCATTGGTAGGTCTTCAGCAGCTGTCAGCTCACAGCCAGCATCTCCAGCATTCTGAGAGATGAGGTCACTAAGTGCCAGTTCTGGGTTTCTCCTTAGAATTCAGACTTGGGATTTCTACCTGGGCCAATTGGGGTCCTGCTGCCAAATGGAGCCAGTCTGGGAGGCAGAGGGGAAGGGAGACTCAGCATCAGCACCAGGGAGGGCGGGGAGGTGCTGGGTCCCTGGCTCTTCTCAGCCCTGTTTGCTGAGAGAGTCCAGAGAGGGTGAGTGCGCTCCTCCTGCTGCTCCCTCACGCAGCGTGGACGAAGGGGATGGAACTTCTGGGGCTCCCGCAGGGCAGAGAGCAAGCGGTTCCTGCCCTGGCTGCTCCTTACTCCTCTGAGCTCACTCCTTGCACACCAGTGAGGAAAACTGGACACCTCTCCTCAGGGCCAGGTCGGTGGTCACGTGGCCCTGGACAGATTTTACCCACTTGTGTTGCAAACTGCCCACCCAGAGTCAAGCCCCTCCATCACGGTGACGGAGTGGTCTCTTGGGGACCGGCCTGGGAGCTCTGTGTAAGCAGATCCGGCTGCAGTTGAAGTCCTGACTAGGAAATGATGGTTTGAGACGGAAGAAAATGCTCTGTGGAATATGCTGTTACTGGTTCTCTTTGGGCAGGGAAAAAACATCTTTGAGTTTACCTTTAAAGACACAGAGAGCTAAAGCCGTTATGCTGCAGCCCTTAAGAAAACATTTGGATTTTATCAACGGCGCAGAAGATCAGCAGCAGTTTCAGGTCAAGTCCAGGTTAATTAGAGAGTAAGTCAGCTAACTTTCCTTCACAAATCGCAAGTATTTCTTGGTCAAGATGGCTGATGTCGACGTGCCGTGCTAGTAATGGGGATTCTTGAGACATTTTCAAGATGCTTCCATACCTCCTACAATAAGCCCATCCTTGTGGAACCATTTCTGACTGTCGTTATTTAGGATTTTAAGGTAAGATCCAAAGTGAAGCTTGACTTCCTGTTTGCTGTGACACACATAATTTACAAATTGGGAGCTTGGAATCGAGGAGCTTTCTCAGTTCTTTCACTCACCTGCCTAGTACACAATTTCTCTTCGAAAGAGAATGCACCCTGAATTCATATTTTTTCCTCTTTAGAGTTGAATTTTGCTTTTTCTCTGCATCCATCTTTCCTTTGCAAAGTGATACACACACAACTGTTTGTAAATCAAGGTTCCATAAGATATGATTATAAAAAGATAAGAAATGCAAATCTGATGTATCTCATTTTCTTTACCTTTTTTTTCCTCTGGCCTCCACGGATGTACTTTCTTATACTCCGTCTAAAAGTATTTTTTTGTTTAAGAAGTAAACACATTCCTGTTGACTATTTGCATAATATGTTAATGCAGATATACATTTAGACATCTGGATAGCATTTTAATATCTCATTCTCATTCACGAAGCTGGAGCTCACACAGATGGTGCAGTGATTTTCGGAGCATTGTTGTAAACAAATAAGGCAGCCAGGAAACCAAACACACTGCAGGATGGGCTCAGCCAGCGAGGAAGGGCTTGGGGGAGATGTTTTGACTGTGGGGTCCTCAGCCCTGACCAGTCTCTGACACGCCGAGAGGCACCAGCAGGCGGCTTCTCCATGCTTGGAAAGGAGCAAAAGCACAGCACCAGCTGTGAGTTTTCGGTTCTGAATGCTTTAAAGATTAAATGCATGTTCTCACAGTTACATAGAATACACAGGTGCATATGTACCTGTGGCATGTGTGTGCTGGTACATATGTGTACACCTGTTTCAATAACATAGGCTCATGCTGGTGAGCAGTGAGTGGATCTCTGGCTTCTTACTCTCCCTGGGGACCCTTCAACTCCTTGGCTGCTGAAAGCCCCGCCTCTGAGCTCATTCAGTCAGGGATTTACCCGGGTCCAGCTCTCTGTGATTCTGGGCAGGTGACTCTGTCTCTCATCTGGGATGATGATGGCGCCATCTCCAAGGGCAGATGGGATTGGATGCACAGGCATTCCTCCGGGGCTTTGCCGATGCCTCCAGGCGGGCAGTGCCCAGCAGGTGCTTAGAATTGGGGTCATCATTTTCTTCTTCAGCCCTGGATCTTGACACTTCTGCATACTTTGGATGATGCGAGCGGGTGGCTGGGCCTTGTGAGGACACAACCAGTGCCCTGGCCCAGGAGTAACACAGGCTGCGTCTTACAGCTGACCTGTCTTGAGCTGACTGGACAGTGGCCGGAGCTCAGTCGGCCTCAGCTTCTCAGCAGCAAGATCTCGGCTCCTGGCTTCCATGTGAAGGGTCCCTGGGCCTGTTCCGGATGGCCCTGGGCAGAGGGCAGGAGGTAGAGGCCCCGGGACCCAGGGATGCCCGAGGCAGCCACGTCTCATTGCTGTGGCAAGTTACGGGAGCTTCCCACCTGCCAGGTGATGCTGCAGCAGGCACCTTGGGTTTGATGCTAAGGACTGACCCACAAAGAAACAAGGCCAGGAGACAAGAGGCCAGAGGCCAGGAGTAGGTGCAGGGGACTCTGAGAAGAAGGTGAGGAGCTAATGACAGGACTGTGTTACGTAGCAATCACCCTGCACTTTTGTTTGTGTTTTTCACCCAAAACGACTGAAAATAAAACATCTGCTGTGGGCACACGCGGGCAGAGGGTGCTGTAGAGCAGAATGCTGCCCTCAGGTGTGCTGCCTAGCAGGATCCAGGATTGCGCACATGAGCAAGGAGACTCCTGGCGTAAGCTGATGCCTCCACCAGAGCCAAAAGCTGAATGCCCACTTGTGACGGTGCTTCTGGTGATGTCCTTGGGGGGGTCAGTGAAGAGCCGGCACCGTCTTCTCAGAGGAAGAAGGATATTTCTTCTCCGTGCATAGCTGTGCCAGAAAAAGCTCACCTGAAATGAGTGCTGGGCAAAAACCCCCCCACCCCAACCATATTTCTTTCAGGTTTCACAGAATCCCCTTTCTGGCTGCAGGGAGTTTTTGTCCAGACTCGCTTTACGCTTTCTTGTGTAAAGCTGCTGTGATGGTCACGTGTCCCTTTTTTATATGCAACACTTTGCCCACATTTTGTGCTAATTGTCTGTGTCTGTCTATATCTGTCTTCTATCTTTATATCTGTTTATCCATTTATCTATCATCTATCCACCTATTTATCTTAATTTTATTATACCAAATTATCTTGATTGCGCTGATGTCTAAATAAGTTTAATAAGTTTTGTTGTATACATTTCATTTATTCTTAATTTATTCACTTGATTTTAATACAACTTAGAAATAAAAAACTTATGGATGAAAGTTACATATTATATAAACATGTGAGCTTTTAATCATATGCACATATACACACTTACAGGGATTTCAGTGAATTTCTTTTTGCTTATAAATGTGAACAAAAGAGCTGGTAATGATGGCACCTGTGTGTGTTCCATTTCCACCACTCTAAGCTCCGACACGGTGGGAAGCATCATTTGTCTACAGAATTATTCTGCTGGTGTTTTGCTCCCAGGGAAGTAGAGAAAATACAGAGTTCCCTGCTTTTAATATCTCTGCCTTTTATGTTCATCACAGCCTCTGTTTTAGGCAGCACCCCCAACACACACACGCACACACACACACACACATACACACAAAGGTCTGTTTCCTATTTATCCCCAGAAATTTCTTTGGTAAAGTTGTCCTAAAACATGACCCAAAATTATATAAATGCCATTAAAATATCACCTGTGACTTTCCTTTTTCTTTTGTTTCCAACTAGACGAACGTTTCCTCTGAGTGCACTGTTGCCGTGGGAATGTGTCACCGAAGGAGGAAGTGAGAGTCCGGGGCTCCACCTTGTCCTCCTGCACAGGAGTCACAGTTTCTGGACATGGGGTGCACAGGGCTCTTCGGGGGCTCTGGGCTTATCAGTGGTTTCCTGCATCGTGATACTCTCATTCCAACATGTGGCCCTCGTCCCAGGTGCTTCCAGGTGTCTCGGTACCACCGGGCACCAAGGTGCTGGGCTTGTGTAAGTCTCCTCCTGAGTATGTGAGACACTGGAATGTGACTAAGTAATTGAATTTTTGACATATGCAAAAAAGTTGTAAAATAGATTAAAAAGTACCGTAAATAGACATCTAAAAGAAAGGAACAGATGGGCTCTTTGTTAAGATGTTCAGATAAAGCCAGAAACTGAGAAGCAGATGGCTTGGATGCCTGGGGTAGTTTGGCAACGGGACCTGGAGCCAGTGGAGCAGCAGATCAAGCTCTGCCTTCCCAGGACAACCTGAGCACACGGACGGGCCCCTGCACACGCGGCGTCTGCTGCTGCGTAGTGGAAACGCCCATTTGTGCTCCACTTCCATCGAAAGCAGTGAATTCACACTCAGCGGTTGGGGAGGGCGCCTGAAGTGTGAGGGAGAGGGGCAGATAAAAGCAAGCATCCCAAGAGTGCTGACTTGGGTTTAATCTTTGTAATATTGGCTTAGCCCTATCATATTTGCTTTATCTGTGGAATCTTCTTAGGAATATGCAAAGTGCACCTGCTCATTTTCCTGGGTGGGCGAGAATTTCTGGTGGTGCCCACTGGCAGGAGCATGTGGATGCTGCACAGCAGTTGTGGACACTGTTCACATTCATGCAGCACTTTCCATCCTGAACCACTTTCTTTTTTTTTTTTTCTTTTTATTTTTTTTTTGCCAGGCAGAGTTAGTCATTGAGAGAGAGAGACAGAGAGAGAGAGTCATAGACAGAGAGAGACAGAGAGAGAGTCATGGACAGTGACAGAGAGAGAGACAGAGACAGAGAGAAAGGTCTTCCTTCCGTTGGTTCACTCCCCTACTGGCTGCTACAGCTGGCGCTGTGCCGATCCGAAGCCAGGAGCCGGGTAATTCCCCCTGGTCTCCCATGGGGTGCAGGGACCCAAGCACTTGGGCCATCCTCCGCTGCCCTCCTGGGCCACAGCAGAGAGCTGGACTGGAAGAGGAGCAACAAAGACTAGTACCTGGTACCCCAACCAGGACTAGGACCCCGGGGTGCCGGCGCCGTAGGCAGAGGATTAGCCAGTGAGCCATGGCGCCGGCCCTGAACCACTTTCTAAACAGACACAGATCCACTCTCTTATCAGAAATCATTCCACTAGCGTGGCCGACCCCACAGAGCGGGGCATGGATTGAAAGCAGCCGCTTCCGCCCAGCGAGCTGATGCCCCTGAGCATTCCTGCTCCGTCTGACCTGCCACATCCTCAGTTTCACGTGGATCCCCTCCGTCTCATGTAGGGATGCTGGTTCACATATGTAGGTTTTATTAAAACCCTGATGCAAGTTTTGTTTACAGGCTTTTCTCCATGTCAGCAGTGTCTTAGGATTTTACACAGGAATCTGACTCATTCTGAAGATGAACAGCGTGATAGTCACAGGACAGGATCCTACAGTCTGTGGAGTATTTAGCTTATTTCATTAAAAACATGTCTATCACTAGCCATACTTTCTTGAGCAAATGTGAACAAGCACATCGATGGCCATGTGTGGATAAACAAGCTGAACTGCTCAGTGAATATAAAAAATGTAAATGATTAAGTTTGTGATAGACAGGGTGGAACCAGCTTAACAACTCGTTTTCCCAGCTCTGTGCTGCCAGATCGGGATCCCCTGTTGAGATGGGTGTGGCATCAGGCGTGGCTGTGGGTTGTAGGTCTGGCATCAGGTGTGGCTGTGGGTCAGGGTGGCTGTCACAGGTGTGGTGTCAGGCGTGGCGGCTGTGGGTCACAGGTGCAGGATCAGGTGTGGCTGTGGGTTGCGGGTGTGGTGTCAGGCACGGTGGCTGTCGCGGGTGTGGTGTCAGGCGTGGTGGCTGTTGTGGGTGTGGTGTCAGGTGTGGTGGCTGTCGTGGGTGTGGTGGCTGTAGGTTGCATGTGTGGCATCAGGCGTGGTGACTGTGGGTCATGAATGTGGCATCAGGTGTGGTGACTGTGGGTCATGAATGTGGCATCAGGCATGGTGGCTGTCCTGGGGTCACTGGCTTCCCACAGTAGTGCCATCGAGGAGTCCTGGCCTCCCCTGTGTGTGGCGCCTCCCTGGCCTGCTTCTCCACACAGGAGTGGTGCTCAGGGCATGGAATTTCCTGTTTGTTCCAATGCACTTTTTAAATTTTTAGAAAAGATTTATTTATGTGAAAGTCGGGGACTGGCGCTGTGGTGCAGCGGGTTAAAGCCTCAGTTTGCAGTGCCGGCATCCCATATGAGCGCCAGTTCGAGTCCTGGCCCCTCCTCTTCCCATCCAGCTCTCTTCTATGGCTTGGGAAAGCTGTGGAAGATGGCCCAGGTCCTTGGGCTCCTGCACCTGTGTGGGAGACCTGGAAGCATCTCCTGGCTCCTGGCTTCAAATCAGCTCAGCTCTAGCTGTTGCAGTCATTTGGGGAGTGTACCAGTGGGATGGAAGACCTCTCTCTCTCTCTGGCTCTACCTCTCTCTGTAGCTCTATCTTTCAAATAAATAAAATAACTTTTTTTTCTTAAAAAAAAGAAAGTAAGTCAGTTACAGAGAGAGAGAGAGAGAGAGGTAGAGGCAGAGAGAGAGCAGTGTGTTCCATCTGCTGGTTCACTCCCTAGATGGCTGTGGCAACCAGGGCTGAGCCAGGCTGAAGTCAGGAGATTCTCTCAGGTCTCCCACACAGGTGTAGGGGCCAAAGCACTTGCACCATCTTCTCCCACTTTCCCCAGGCCCAGTAGCCTGGAGATGAATCAGAAATGGAGTGCCAGAACACAAACTGGAACCGGTGTGGAATGCTGGCGTCACAGGCAGTGGTTTTACTGGCTGCGCCACAGCATTGCCCCACTCCCTGCCGATACACATTCTTAACTATACTTGTGACGTTCCAATATCTAAGTCCTCGGTTTCTTTGGCGTGGGTAAATTATGTAGGTAATTAAGCCATTTTCTCCACTTTGGTCTCCTAAATGCACTTTGTCTGAAAGCCTTTTTATTCCTCCACAGCAATTTGTTTTTCTCAGTTTGCCACAGGACTTGTTGATTATTTTGCATTTTATTTTTAGTGGTCATTGTTTCTTCTTTTATTTACTTAATTGTTTTTCATGTTTCTTTGTAAAAGTAGTTCCTGTAGTGTGAATATCCTTGACAGGTTTTGTTCATTTTCCTCTATTTTGTGTTGGCTTTTATCTGGATCAGACACCGCCTTACGTTGTTAGTGATTTCAGTCTCGCTCTGATACTATTTTGCTTCGTTACATGATTGCTTTAGATGTGGTTTTCTTGAGTTTGGTGGGGGGGTGGGAAGATAAAATCTCATTTATTTGACTATCCCACATCTTTCAACTTAGTATAATTTATGCTTATTAGTAATTTTTCTTTCCTGTGTCACTGGCAGTGGTATGAAGCCCGACATCTGCTTCTTTGCTATGAGCAGCATATTTAGGGACTGGCTAAGTGCTTTGATGAAGGATTTTCTAAATTTGGCCCTAGCACCTTATTGAGCTCCATCTTTTCAGTAATGGCACAAATGCGGATGACATTGCCTGTTTCTCGTGTGTTGGCGGTTCCAGTAGATTTCCCAGGAGCGAGGATGGACCACAACGCTCACTTGTTACAGAGGAGAGGAAGCAAAAACATCCCCCCAAAATAGCGCACTTTGCACTCTTTAAAGTGGAGATGTCACTACTTTCAGAGTGTGTGGTGGGAAATAATCAGAGGGAATGGTGCATGTTAGGGTTTTACTCCATGACTGTGTGCTATTAGTGCCATCCTTGTTGTATGTGCAGTCATTAGCATATTTAAGAGACAGGGATGCAGTGGCCACTGTGTTTTTGAGATATTATTTGCTAAATGTGTTGTTCGAATGATTTCTGCAAACATGGAGAAACACATGGGGGCGAGAGCTGTGGATGCTTCCTACTCTTCCCGTGGAAAACCCAGCCCAGGCTGCACAAACTGACAAAGCCCTCCAGCAGCCCTCAGGACGCCTCTGCAGTGAGCCTCTCCTGTCTCATTCACGTCAGCTCCTGGGCCTGAAAACCCTGTGACATGGCTGTGCTCCTGGTGTGAATTGGTCTGGAGGTCAGAGATTACCTTAAGAGACATGGAAGTAGTTCTGTGTGGTACTTAAAATGCTGTACTACCTTGGAAAGGCTGTTGTTCTTTGTGACACCGAATGCCTGCTGTATTTCCTCCAGTCATCAGCCAACTGTGTTGTGTGACTGCCTCAATTTTAATATGGTCCCAGGTATTTTCACTCTGTCCTTCACCCCAGACTCTCATCTCTCCATTACTTAAGTGTAGCTTCTTCATCCACTGACGTTTTTAAGTGACAACTTCAGAATTACCGTTCACACATTAACTGATCCCTTTGACTCTGCTTTCAAATAGTTCCCCAACATGGATCCCTCTCGTCCCTGCCTTGTCAGTGATTGGATGGAAATTTTATGGCCTGAACTCTGTCCTGACCTGCTGACCAGTGCCCACCCCTGGGCATTTCATTCCGACCCCATGCCACGCTCCCACTGTGTCACGATGTCGGCATCATTTTTCTACGTGGAAAGACTTCCAGTACAAGACAGTGAGCTGTTGGGGAAATGCAAGCACACCTGTGAGCACAGAGCCGGCCAGGCCGCGGTGCAACCAGGTCTCTCCCACACTGGAGGCCAGAGCGCAGGTCAGTCCACCCGGTCTGCAGAGTGGTTTGAGGTCTCTTGGAAAGTTCAGCATGTGCTTCTCACATGACACACAGTCATATCCTTGGGCATTTGTCTTAGCAGAATGAAAACTTATCTTCCCACAAAAATCTATATACAAAACCTTCTTAGCTTCATTTGCAACAGCCTGGACTGCCTTTCAGAGTGGGAATGAATGTAATTGTGACAGAATGCACCTGGTAGCCACAGTGTTGGCAGACACGAGTGGGATCTGTCTCAAGGCATCACTGCTCAGTGAGGGAAGCCATGTCAGAAGGTTGCGGAGCCTCAGTATCTGTTTACATCAGAGTCTAGATGCCACGCCGGTGATGGCGAAGGGGTTGGTGGTTGCTGGGGTGAGGGCCTGGGGTCCACAGGGCAAGATTGTCGGGGTGACCTAAGGAGTCTTCTCTACAGGGATGGCACAGCCCCTATCCTTACTGGGCCAATGCTTGTACAAATCCGGGAGTGATGGAATTTCATAGAATGAGTCACCAAGGTGGGAAAGGTGACCAGGAAGCTGAAGACATCAGAGTGAGGCTGGGTCCCAACTCCCACACTGTGCAGTGTAGTTCTCCGGCATTGATGGTGTCCTCTGGTCACACAGGTGTGTGGGGGCCTCGGTACTACTTTATTCTTTTTTAAATTAAAAAAAATTTTTTTATTTGACAGGTAGAGTTACAGACAGTGAGAGAGAGAGAGAGAGAGAGAGAGAAAGGTCTTAATTCCGTTGGTTCACTCCCCAAATGGCTGCTAAGGCTGGTGCTGCACCGATCTGAAGCCAGGAGCCAGGTGCTTCTTCCTGGTCTCCCATGTGGGTGCAGGACCCAAGCACCTGCGTCATCCTCCACCGCCCTCCTGGGCCACAGCAGGGAGTTGGACTGGAAGAGAGGCAACCGGGACCAGAACCTGGCACTCAGATGGGATGCCAGCACTGTAGGCAGAGGATTAACCAAGTGAGCCACGGCGCTGGCTCCTCGGTACTACTTTAAAAACAGTGACTTAAACTGGTTCAAATGTTGTTTAGAAGGAACACGAAGAGCCAGTGTTATGGAGTAGCAGGTTAAACCAAAGCCTACAATGCTGGCATCCCATATGGGTGCTTGTTCATAACCCATTTGCTCCGCTTCTGCTTCAGCTCTCTGTCAATGCACCTGGGAAAAGCAGTGGAGGATGGCCCAAGTGCTTGGGCCCCTGTGCCCACGTGGGTGACCTGGAAGAAGCTCCTGGGTCCTGGTTTTGGCCCAGCCCAGCACCGGCTGTTGTGGCCATTTGGTGAATAATCCAGCGGATGGAAAAATCTCTTTCTCTGTCTCTTCTTTTTTTCTCTGTAACTCTGCCTTTCAAACAAATAAATAAATCTCGGGAAACAATGGAAGACGTCTATGACTGTGCAGGTCAGGACGGATGCGATGCAAGCTTTTGCCAAGGCACTGGTGCGAATCCAGGTTGTGTTTTTTTTGTTGTTGTTGTTTTGTTTTTTGTTTGTTTGTGTTTTTGTTTTAACTCCCTGCAGCTCTTCATGGTTGCTCACTTTCCACACCCGACACCCACACAGAGGCTGGGGCCTCTCCCCCGTCACTGTCACGTCTCTCCTCTTGTGTGCAGGGGCGGACTCCTCTTCCTTGAAATCTCTGGATCTGAGTCTCCTTCGGGTCCTGTCAGGCAATGGTGCTTTTGTTCCCTCTGTCCTCTGTCTGCCTGTCTCTCGTAGACCATGAACTCTGGACATGGCCAGCACCTGCTGCTCCAGGCTTGGTGCAGTGTGACTCAGAAAATTAGGCTAGAGCGTTCCCAGTCTGTACCCTGATTCACACCTTAGCCCAGGATCAGTTAGTTTTCCTGTGTTTTTGAGCTGCTCGCTCTGCTTTGCTTTGTTAGTGGACATGTTTTTGTTCCTTCCTCGCAGGTGGTTGTCCCCTTTGCACTGTGTTTCTTTTTTTTTTTTTTTTTTTTTTGACAGGCAGAGTGGACAGTGAGAGAGAGAGACAGAGAGAAAGGTCTTCCTTTGCCGTTGGTTCACCCTCCAATGGCCGCCACGGCCGGCGCGCTGCGGCCGGCGCACCGCGCTGATCCGATGGCAGGAGCCAGGAACCAGGTGCTTTTCCTGGTCTCCCATGGGGTGCAGGGCCCAAGCACCTGGGCCATCCTCCACTGCACTCCCTGGCCACAGCAGAGGGCTGGCCTGGAAGAGGGGCAACCCGGACAGAATTCGGCGCCCCAACCGGGACTAGAACCCGGTGTGCCGGCGCCGCTAGGCGGAGGATTAGCCTAGTGAGCCGCGGCGCCGGCCTGCACTGTGTTTCTGACCCTGCCTCCTGGCCACATTGAAGCAGAACCTCAGTGCCTTTCAGATACATTTTTAAAGGCAGCCTTCATGGGCCTGATGAGTGCCAAGGCCATCTGTGCTTCTCTGCGGCCCTGGGAATTGTCTAGAGTTCAGGGCATGCTGAATAGAGTTAGAAACATCTACAGCTCCCTCGGAGTCCATAACATTTTATTTGCCAGATATTATGTTTGTGTCATCTAATACTCGCTCTTATGTGCTATCAGAGCCACAATTTAGAAAACA